CTTATTTCATTCTGTTTTTTTAAATAGAATGCTTTTGCACCTCACATGAACATTTGGGTTTGCAATACCAAGACTCTTTTAGAATACCTACTTGAGTATATCACTACTTCAATACTTCAAAAAAACAGTCCTCTTCTTATGTCAGACACTAATATAATAATAATTCTCTCTTTTTTGTGTAATTTTGAAACGCGTGGGCTGCATTCATTTGTTCGCATCCAAAGAGATCTGGCGAGAGCAAAAAAGTTACAAGAAGAATTAAATGTTTGAGCTAAAATAGTTTTGGCCGGTGCGTGTTGGAAGAAATCAAGAGATAATGTGGGATTAAACAAGTGGACATGTGTTGTGTGGGCTGATCAGATCTAATAATTGTTTTCCAAGTTCATTGCTCTATTGTTGGATCCTGCTTTCCTCCACCTACATCACTTAGACATTCTTGGATTCCCTTGAATTAACATACATGGTTTAGTTGTCAATTCAAAATAATAATCTAGTGGAGGCAGAGGAGAGCGTTTGACAAGCAATGGAAATAGTAGTGAAATTGTGTATTGGAGTAAAAGTACAGTTACATGACAAAAGATGTGTCCTGTATGTACTATAAATGTACCGGAGATGCTCTGTCGATAGATTTCACCTTGTTTATATGATTTCATTATGAAGATGCGTATGTTTAAACAGATCAATTGGAGGTCAACATTAGACATAATTGTAATATGTTGTGTGATGCCATGTTACTGTTGAAAATGTAACTAAATAACTACATACATAAATCAATAAATACATAATCTTTGACACCCACGGACAATTACATTTTTATCTTCAAGAAAAGTGGGAGTGGACTGTTGGCAGTGGAAATGGGGATTGTCGGAGCAGTGCTCACTTGAATGCAGGCGATTAAAGATGAATAAAATACATACTTATAGGTATATTAAAGGATTTTTGCCAATTTTTCCACATAATAAATGACAATTAGGGAGACCAAGAGTGTGCATGATCCATCCAAAAAAAGAAAGTCCTCCTATATACCTTCCAATTCCAATTTCAATTCTTCATATGTCTAAATTTTTCAACATAAATACAGCATTTCCCATATTTCTTAGACTTTTGCTGTTGTGATTATACTGTATATCTAATGTCCCCTGATAGCCCAATATAGCGGTCGTCAAACTGAGTGGTGGTCTTTCTGAGAGGAGTTTGCATGTCCTCCCTGTATCTGCGAGGCTTCCCTCCGGTGCTTCAGTTTCGTATACCATCACTGTAAAGTCGTGTGCAATAGACATGAGCTGTCGAATACTGTCACATCTCTTTAATGGCAGCAGAATACAAAAAACATGTCTTTAAAAAGCCGTGAGACCATTACCTCTGATTGGGATGACAACTGTGAAGACATTTTGCAGTTCATCCATGTAGAATGTCAGTTTGGGCAGACGGCGGCCGCTGCGTGGGCATAGAGAGAGAGAGAGAGAAAGAGAGAGAGAGAGAGGGTGAGAGAGAGAGAGGATGAGAGAGAGAGAGAGAGAGAGAGAAAGAGAGAGAGAGAGAGAGAGAGACAGAGAGAGGGCGAGAGAGAGGGAGAGAGAGAGAGAGGGCGAGAGAGAGAGAGAGAGGGCGAGAGAGAGAGAAGAGAGAGAGAGGGTGAGAGAGAGAGAAGAGAGAGAGAGGGTGAGAGAGAGAGAGAGAGAGCAAGATAGAGAGAGAGAGAGAGAGAGGTGACTAATGCCATTCACACCCTGCTATGGGCCACAGCACTCTGGGAAGAAGAACCAGACAACTCATCGCTCATGGACGTGGAGGAGGATTTAACACATGTCTGATATGAGAACAAATATCTTTTCTTTTCTTTTCTTTTATTCATTAATTGTAGCAGAAATTATACATTATATATCTTATAATATTTACATTCCTTAGTTACTAGAGTGCGCTTACAGTTTATACATGCATGCACATGTATATATAGTAGCTCAGTTGGTAGAGTGTTGGCCTTTGAGCCAAAAGGTCATGGGTTCGAGCCCAACTCAAGACTTTCGCCATCGACTCCCACTGATGTCTGCTGTCGTTGTGACCTTGGACAAGACCCTTAACCTCTGGGAACACCAGGTGCCACAGTGGGGCGGCTGCGGCTGTAAAGTGCCAAACCTCCGTTGTGTCCTTAGGCAAGACACTTCACCCCCATTGCCCAGAATGAGTCTGGTGTGTGTGTGAATGGTAGGTGGTGGTCGGAGGGGCCGATGGCCGATGCTTCTGTCAGTGTGCCCCAGGGCAGCTGTGGCTACAGTAGTAGCTTATCACCACTGTGTTTGGAGTGAATGAATAATCCCACATGTAATGCGTCTTTGAGTGTCCAGAAAAGCGCTATATAAAACTGATGCATTATTATTAAATACTAATATTTATTTCAATTTACAGTTTCTCAACTCAAAATTGAGTGGGGAATAGTTTTTAATGTTCTTAATAAATGTTTTAGCTTTTTAGCAGCTCACAGAATTATAAGCCAGGACTAAAGCTGATACAGTCAAAGATCTAAAATCAGACATATATTCTTTTTCTATTGCTTTTAAGTTTTTGTCTGGTTTAGGCCTTTCTCAATGTTAAAGCTGATATCTAACTTTCAAGCCATTACCGAGAAACTAGTTTGATACATTTTGAAACAGGAAATGTCAACCAGCAAACAACCTGTTTGCTCATGTTGGACGTGTATGTAATATAATGAAACGGACAAATAAATACATTTTATGACACTGTCCATCACTAGTTTTTCACACATGCATTTTTACTCGTGTTATAACTCTCAGACAATCAGCTCTCAGTCCAGGTTTTTGTGGCAAATACAGAACATGCTCCTCTGTGAATTCCAGTCTTGGCAGTAACTTATGGTAGCTTCAGACATGGGTTTGGGAAAGAGTAATTTTTAACCTCAAAATTATACCTTTAACTCTGTATAGACGATAGCATTTTTTTGAGAAATTAATTGTGATAGAGGATCACTTATCATAACTTATCATTACTTAACATAACACATAGGAAAACATGATATACAAAAAATGTAGGTAGAGATTTGTGGGATGCCAAGTGTAAAGTGTGCTGGATTTTGAAGCTTGTGTGCTACTTCTTCTACTTCTGTGCCTAAAGGGTTAACTTAAGGAGCTGGCATGAGCCGGGAAGTCCTTAAAATCCATAACTCTATACCATGCTCTGGAGTTTCACAAAGCAATAAGCAGTTCTCTGTCTGACTGTCAAAAACGGCATCGCACTTGCCCACTTCCCCCGTGTCCAAATATGGAAACCTCCGTCTACATTAAACCCGACCGTCTTTCCCAATGTTTGCATTATGCATGACGTAACCATCACCACTCACATACATTTTTTATATCGAAGAATGAGAATGATATGTTTGTTTTGGGAAGACACAGACTGCACTTTCGGGGGATAAAAAGCAGGTTTAAAAAAAGGCCTTAAATAAATCAGAGCTGGACATAAACTGCTTTGGATGCGCAGAGAGCAGAATGACCTTATCCCGTGTTGTCCGCGGACGTCAAAGGGCAGACCCGCTCCTTGGACAGTGACAGCCCCTTGTGATGGCTGTGTTTTTAGCCCCCAGCCCGCTCTCTCCGGCAGGACGCGGCTCCACCTTTATCCCCGTGAGAATGATCGCACTTCTATTTTTAAGTCTCTCTGCTTGAACGCTCTGCAGCTCACTCTCAATACAACGGGCCCATTTGAGTTTCCATCAGAGAGCGTCATTCATTAGGATATATGCTTGTGTGGGAGAGTATTTTTCATCTCGGTTATACTTGGGAGGTGTTTTTTTTTTTTTACTGCGGGGTTTGTTCAGTTTGTGTGTCTAGCTTGAGCAAGACTAGTATTTTCTTTTTAATATTTGGGGTTGTGAGGAATTGATCACATTGGTGGAGCTGGAATGGTTGCCCTTGTACCTCAAATAAAAAGTATGTATGAAGCATTGTTAACATTTGCCTAAAAGTATATGAGATAAAATGAAAAAAAAACCCAAATTAAAGTTTCTGCTCAAGAACCAACCAACTTTATTCTACAAGACAAAATTAACTTTCCTAAACTTGGGACCCAAATTACAGGACTGAAAATAAGATGTAATTTAAATAAATAAAAACAAGATCCAGGGTAACAATAAAACACAAAAAGCGACAAGCCAGGAACCAACAAAAAAGTGGACAGACAATGGACGGACAAGTGGGGAAAAGCACAGGGTATAAACGCACAGAGGGACTTTAGGGCGCAACAATTACAGAGACAGGAAGGAAAACTCAAAAAGGCAAGACGACAGATGTGTCAGAATAAAACAAAAGTTAAAAATGAAACTCCAGCCCTTGACAAATTTGACTTAATTTGAAACATGTCTCCATTATTTGTATTCAAACAAAAGAGATTCAATAGCTTACGGTTATGTGACATCACAACACTCCGAAAAGCCTATAGTAAATATGTGGTGGACGACAGCAAAAAAAAATCTTACCTAAAAATCTTAAATCAGATTTTTTGTGTTAGATTAGACCTGATTTATCTGTTGTTCCGGGGCCAATCCACATGAAACAAACTGTCAAAAAGTTCCACATACAGTACTCTTTGTCAGTACATGCCAACAATGGTCTATTAATTTTCTCATAAAGGTAAAACAAGTAAAGAAATGGCTCTAGTTTAGTTAAATTGTATCTTAATTGGAACACATTTTCACTGCCTTAAAACAAGATTTGCCAATGGGACAAAGCAAAATGATCTTGTTTTAAAAATATACAAGAAATGTCTCCCTTGGAATGAGAAAAAAAGCAATAGTTCTTGATAAGAGACTAAATGCCTTTGTCCCATTGGCATATCTTGTTTAAAGACAGTCAGAATGTACTCAAATTGAGCTAAAACACACACAATTATTACCTGATATTTAATTATTATCTGCTGGGTATTATACGTATTCCATATATACAGTACTCATATTGATCTCCTGTCTGTCTCCTGTCTGTCTCCTGCAGCATCCTGTTTGCAGACATCGTGGGCTTCACCAGCCTCGCCTCCCAGTGCACGGCCCAAGAGCTGGTCAAACTCCTCAATGAGCTGTTTGGGAAATTTGATGAGCTCGCCACGGTGAGTTTGAAGCCGAAATTGCCGTCACAGTCGATTTGTCCTTTTTTTCTCTCTCTCTCTTCCCTCGTGCTATGCTATTGTCCAGGCTTATAGGGCACATGCCACGCTAGCAGCAGCTTAGCATGATGTCACAGAGGATCCTCAAGCCAATATGATGTCTAATATGATTATCTCCTGCTTCATTTGAGGAAGTTGACAGACCTCTGTAATCTGGGTCAGATTTGTGCACAGCTAAAACACGTCTGTCGTTTCGGGTACGTGCAAAGATCTGAATGCAGACTCGAACCACAGCTGAAACCCCCTGGAAATCTTTTTAATTCATCTTCAAATGTGAAACCAATATATGATGGAGACCCTTATAGACTAAGACCATGACATACACTGCAAAAAGTGATGAACAATTGCTCAAATTTGGCTAAATATATCTTGTTTTGAGAACATTGTGACTGCCTTAAAACAAGATTTGCCAACCGGACAAGCAAAATTATCTTGTTTTATAAAGATTCATGAAATGTCTCCCCTGGAATGAGAATATAAAGCTACTGTTCTTGAAAAAGGCCGAAATTGCTTTGTCCCATTGGCAAATCTTGTTTTAAGACAGTCAGAATGTACACAAATTAATACAGAAATACTCGGTCCAAGCTATTACTTTCTCATATTGGATAATCTTATACCAAGCCTTTGTTTTCTTATCATTTTTATTATGGCTTACAGTGAATCTTTCAAAATATTCAACATTTTCAGACGTTTAATTTGGAGGTTTTACAAGCTGTGAGCCATAATTATCAGCATTACAAAAAAATAAAAGGCTTGGTATTTCTCACTCTGTGTCTAATGCACCTCTCATGGACTTGTAAATGGACTTTTGAACAATACTCTAGTTTATAATACTGTATGAGCCAGTTCCTGTATTAGTTTGAACAAGACAAAAGATTTTAACTCTCCATCTGTCAATATTTGTTGATTCTTTGTGATTACAACAGCAAAAATTCCCTCGGCTTTAACTGTGAATTTTGCCACTCGTGTTTGCCAAGGCTTTCAAACACAACACTGTAACACCGCAAAAGTTTTGAGTCCAACTTTTCCGCAGCAGTGTGTTGGTCTGACGTGACTGGAGTTGGCCCGCTGCAGGACGGGAGAAGGTTGTGCCTCTGTTTATGTAATCAGTCCTCTCTTACTTACACTCGGCCCATGACATGCCCTTCAAATCCACTAATCCAGGATTACAACTCACTCTTTTTGCTTTCATAGAAGGTTTCATGCTTCTTTGAGATCTCTCCACTGCACGCTTGTTTACATAGGAAAGCTTAATGTTCGGAAACAATGAAATATGTTTTAATATTAAACGGATTTCTTCTTCTCTGACGTCAGGTATTGTGTGTTTGTGGAGGATCGGTTATCTGTGCGTGTTTACAGAGTATGGGTCTGATATGTCAGAAATACATCTTCTTACTGTATGTAAAAGAATCTTTAAGTAATAGATAGTATTTATTTATTTCTTACAACATTTCATAGAATATAAAATGTTCAGCTCAAGAGTCACATCGGCACATTTCAATTAAAGTGATTGTCTGGAGTTTGTCAGAGAGACAGAGAGGTGCTTGATTTGAAGAAAACGATGCAAGCTCCTCCCCCTTCCTTTCTGATTGGTCTATACCTACGTTTCCGTAACACTTTGAAATGTTAATCTGAGAACACATTATACATATACATTATTAATTCACATGCACGGAGGTTTTCCGAATGATTTTTTAACGTTTTAATGAAAAGAATAACGTTTTTATGCACAAAAAAAGCGATTGCGGCAAACCAGGAAGTGCTATTATCATGAATTGCACATTATAGGACACATCTGCAGAGGATCTGATTATGGATATAAGTTCAGTATATAAATGAGTCCCTCAGCGCGGATGTTCAGAATTCTTTGTTCAGATTTCATGTAGTTCCAGAGCCTAATAGAGGCTTGATTCGGAGGCTCCGCGAAAACAAACAACTGGGCATGAGCAGCTACGAGCATCAGCGCTGATGATTGACAGCCCTTGGCATGACTCGATTGGTTAACCTCGACGGCACCGTGGATTCTAAGCTATAACTAAGAGAAAGGAAGGCGGGACTTGCCCGTTATATTAGAATGAATAAAATGACTTATTTTATATCAACATTTAAGGCCAGGAGGTCAATTTAACACATTTCCTATTTGTAATTCATTTAGAGTTACAGACTATCACTTTAAACACTAGTCTCCCTGTGGCAGCATTGATATAATAACGATAATAATAACAGAAAAAAACATTGTTATTTGTACAGCACTTTTCCAAACCAATTTTTTTTTGTGGTCCTTTGGATAGACACGTTTGCTGCGAGCCATGTTCAGTACTCCAAATGTATACGCTGATGTTACTTCTTTTGGGGGGCGTGGTCAGGTTGTCCCATTCCATAATGTGGTTATTTCTCTTGTAGTGATCTGAAATCTGAAAATCTGAAATCTTTCTTGTTTCTTTTCGGCCCTAGTGCGTCTCAACTTTTCACACTCCTTTTGATGTTTTTTGCATTGAATTTCATATAATGTGTTGCATCACTTGTATACCCAAAGGACTCTACACCAACAGTAGTCAAAGATTGCTGTTAGGATTGACTGCTGCGCCAGAATGGGGTCTGTAAGGCCTCTGATGTATGCTCATGTGACTGAGATTCTGTGCCTTCTGGCGGAGATGGTCAGTTTTCTAAAAATGAGCAACAAAAGTGCACAAAAATAAGAGGAAACCATCCATCACAAGCAGAGGGCAGCAGGAGCACAGAAGGTGCACAGAATGATGCAAAAACAAAGCTTTAATCCATCGCCACAATGATACAAATGTTCACAATACTCTACTCTGATCGGACAATAGCGGAAAACATTACAAAAAACGTTTCTAAGCAGGTTTGTAGGTGGTACGCTGGCTGAGGGGTTCACCTCCAGATGGGGCCTTTCTGAGAGGGGTCTCCCTGTGTTTGCGTAGGTTTTCTCCGGTTGCTCCAATTGCCCCTACCACTAATAACGTATACAAATGTTCTCTCTGGGTCAGGACTCAACCCGGAAAAAGAGAGTGGGAAATCTCAGTGGGACTTTTCTGGTTCAAGAATATAATAGATACTAATAAATAGTCACTATAGTAGTAACTATGCATTTTGAAAGTATTCTTCCCAACGCAGCTCTTTCAATTGGATTTTATTCATTTTTTTGCCAAGCTTGTGCATTGAATTATTGTAGTGTCTGTGTAACACAATATATAGCCATACATATACCTTACAGAGCTCATATTTACCACTTTTTTCTCCCAGTCCCATCTCCGTAGGCAATCGATAAGAACAAAGTTAACAATAATGATAGAAATGCAATTTGGTAGCAGTCAAAGATATATAGGTAATTGAAAAAAAAATATACAATTGCTAGGTTGTATAACAAATTAACTGTCACAGAAAAAAATCAGGGAACATTCAAACTCATTGTGAAGAATCTTGTAGTTCTGATCCAAACGTGTCACCAAATGTTGTGCCGGTGCTTTGGCCACATTCGGGCAGGAAGAGGCAGGATGTGGTCAGAACCTCCTCTCCTCCTCGTGCACACACTCGCCCCCGCACCACCTGTCCACTCTCCGGGCCACGACAACCGGCCAAGGAATCCACCAGCCTCCTCCCCCTTCCCTCCACCGCTGATGTTTCATTTCACACAACAGAGATCTAAAAGCAGAAGTTATTAGCGCGTCAGGATGCTAATACTTACAAAATGGCTCTTTGAGAAACATGAAGAGAGCTGATGAGAATTCAAATACTTTTACAGGCAATTGATAAGTGTGGGATGTTGGAGTACGCAGGAAATTGTGGAAAAATCCATCAATCATGACTTTTATATTGAAGCGACCGAGTAGAATAGAACTGAAAGTGAAAAGAAAAAGATTGATTTAGCATCTGCCAATTTCACAACCATCACTTGTAGATGATTCATTCAGATGCTACGGAGTGGGTGGGGCTTCTATGCTTCCGGAAGTAAACATTTTCATTCCAAATCCCTATAAAGATAACACGTATATTATTCTATAACTATTATGTATTATTTTGTGGCTATTATTATTATTATGATTATTATCATTTTTACGCAGAGAATGTCTTCATATTATTTTTTATTATTATTATTATCATTATTATTATTGTATTATTACTATATTAAATTATGATTATTTTTTCATATTTTTTTAATTATATTTTATACTGATTCTATATTTTTTCGGCAGAGGATGTCTTTATTTGAGCATTCTGTCTCAATATTTAAAAGAAACATCTAAAACGATTCATGTGTTCTTTGTGCTTTTGTTCAGTGGAACCTAACTGAACTGATTGGACTGTTGTGAGTAAGGTGCAAGTGCAATCTTAACCACCGCAAAAGGCTTTTAAGATTCTAAATGTCTTAATTTTACACATTTCTATCAATGTTTAAAGAACCCATAGTAGTAGTAAGTAATGTTTATTTATATACCGCCTTTCACAGACCAGAGTCACAAAGCACTTTACAATTGTGGGCCTTTGTCTCTCACTCCACACAGAGATGGGAGCGGGGTCGCCAGTACAGGAGGCACATGCCAGGACTATTGTACATGTTCTTAGTGGTAGGGGAAACCGGAGCACCCGGAGGAAACCTACGCAGATGCAGGGAGAACATGCAAACATGCCCATGCATTTTAACCACTTGAATTTGAAAACTGCTGCTTTGAATTACAATTATACTGGTTAGTTTATGACCACAACATTTATACATTATTTATTTTCTAATGAGTTCATAAAAATGCGTATTACTACATACTAGTTGTATTATAATCCGTAATTTCATTGAAAACTTGAGCTCATTGATTCAGCTGTATTTTAATTCAGGCCGTAAAAAGTGCTAAGTAGAGACTTTAGCGTGACGCCCGTTCTCCTCCAATCACAGAACGAGGCTGCGTCCTCTAGCCTCTACAGCGCTGCTA